TTTTTCAATACTTCTGTGCTTTTTTTTTTGCTGAAAAATTTGTCATTTTTATACTTTTTAAGCTTCGCAAAAATAATGTATTGCCGATTAAACTTGGCTAATTAAGATTTAACAAAATTTTACAAAATTAAAATAGATAAATTTTTAATTTTCTCAGTTTTTATTGATTCATTTTATTTTTTGTTGTTTTACAGGTTTTGTTAAAATTTTTTTGAAATGTATTTCAGATTTGTTTAAGTCATATTGTAGACTAAATGTATTTGATCACATCTGTTTGAATCATGCGAAAAAAAAAAAAACTTCTGAAATTACAAAAAAAAAAATCATTATTCATAATAGATTTTGTTCTAACAAATTTGAAAAAAATGGAGCAGTTTTTTAGATTTTCAAAAAGTAACGTAGCTGGTCGGAAATGCCTGATTCAAGTCAAAAAAGTATTCAGATGCAGCGTAAAAATATTCGAGCAATTTTGCTTATCATCAGTACATTTACATATTTACTTATTGGAGCTGCTGTATTTGAGAAGCTGGAATATAGATCAGATCTTGAAAGACGCCATGGCATTGATATGATTGCTCAGAAACTTCACAACAAATATAATTTCAGTGAAAAGTTTGTTATTGTAAATTAGCAGTTTTTTTTTTTTGTAAATTCAAGTTTTTCATAATTTTGAACTTACTTTTTTAAGAATTTTATTGCATTAATATTTTGAATATTTAATTTTTGTTACATATACTTATCATTTATTTATATATATTATCCAACTTTGAATTGACGTTAATTGAAAATTACGAACTGTTCACATTTATATGCATAATTTTTAGAGATTATCAAGTTCTTCAAGCAGTTGTAATTAAGTCTATTTCACATAAAGCTGGTTTACAATGGGGATTCGCTGGTGCTTTTTTTTTTGCTGTTGTCGTTATCACCACATTGGGTAGTTTATAAACATTTAGTTTTGTTTAGTTTCTGTGTACAATTTTAAAATACAAAAATTTATGCTTTGATTATCTTTTCTAGGTTATGGTCACTCAACACCAAATACAACTCTTGGTAAACTGTTCTGTATGATATTTGCATTGGCTGGTATACCTTTAGGTTTGATTATGTTTCAAAGTATTGGTGAACGAGTGAATACAGCTATCGCATATGTTTTAAGAAAAGTATTCTATCAAAAATTATTGTAGAAATAATAATTGAATAATGTATATCTGCATGGATCAATAATTTAATTACAAGTGTTTTTGATTAATTGAGTAATTAAAACGAGAATTTTCGCTTTTCAGACTGAAAGTTAGAAAAGTAATCTGATGACTTTTTATTCGCATATACTTGGTAAAAATATTTAAATTGAATATCGAAAATAAATACGAATAACTTTTTCAAGACTAAATTTGTTGGTATTAGATGTGATATTTTGCATACATGAAACATAATTACGTATAACTTTTGGGCTTAGAAATTTTAAGCGTTATATTTTATATCTTCAATTTCAGAAAATTTTAAGCACAAACTAAGTATTAAAATTTAAGCAAATTAAAAATCAATTTAAATTGGACTTTGTTGTCTTTTTAATCTTTTAGATTCGCTCATGCTTGAATTCACGAGGCTACAACGTTTTACGAGAAGTTACGCCAAAGCATTTATTGTTTGTATCATTTTCAATCGGTACAATGGTAATAACCATTGGTACATACGTCTTTTACAAATACGAACGATGGTCTTTGTTTGAAGCTTATTATTACTGCTTTATTTCATGTAATACATTTTTAAATTAATTCCATAGCTAGTCAAACTTTATAAATAATAATTATAACATACATATGCATTCATATTAATACATAAATATATGATTTGAGTACTTCTAAAAACTAGAAGAGTTAATTGTTTTCTATTTCTTTATTTGGTTCAGTGATAAAGTTTGATTCACACTTAGAAATGTCACATTTTTGGCCAATACGATGCTATTCTTTTGAAATAATTAAATATTTTAAAATTCAGATATATATAATTTAATAAGTTATGCTAATTTAATTAGTTAGCAATATGGTAACTTGTATGGTAGAGGTCAAATTTTTCAGGAATTCAAGAAAATTATGAACTTTTTTGAAAACAATTTTATTAAAATTATGCCACCTTCTGCACAAAACATAAATAATTAACATGTTAATTTAATTACTCTTATCTCTGATAAGACAAAATTTTTTTTCTTTTATTATCAACTATCGGATTTGGTGATTATGTACCGCTTCAAACTGATGGCATTATGAATAATCGGCCGGGCTATTTTGCATTCACATTGTTATTTATTGTTGGTGGCCTTGCTTTATTTTCAGCATCGGTTAATTTACTAGTTTTAGGGTAAAAGTCATTCATATTGTTACTTCTTTGTTTGTTTTAGAATTTTTTTAAATTTAAATTTCGAATATACCATGCAAAATTTAAACATATCAAAATATACTAAAGTAATTAAATTAATTTATGTAGTGTTTTAAACTAATGATTGATTGATTTTTGGACAATATTTTCAGTTAAGTCTGAAAAATTTGGAAATATTGTTTTTTAATCAAATTTGATACTTAATTAATTCGAAAAGTTTTAAATAATTTTAATAATAATTTTTTAAGATAAATTTTTATAAATTTCATGAAATTAAAATATTTCAAAAAAAAAA